AAGAGCAAAGATGCTTGCCAGGTGGTCAACGTCTAAAATACCGGGGACTAGGGAAAGGATAAGTCACCCAGTCTCCTCCAATAACAAGCAGACAGTCTGAATACCATTAAGTGGGAAATCTTTCAATACCAATCGCTTTTCTATATAGGACCAGGAAATGGGGAGAATTACTGACACCCCTTTTTTTTAAAGGAAGTATTCCAGAACTCTCTTCCTACATAAAACTTGCCCTTTCCCAGTGGCCTTCAATTCTCCAGGCTTCAGTTCTTAAGAGTACATTGAAAACCAGCTGAGTAACTGTAAAAGCCCAAACGGTCACATTGGTAGATCTAAATCAATTCTGAAATTCTCCAGTACTGTCAGTCTCATATCTAGATTCAGATATCCAGGAGAAAAGCCATTACTATCTGAAAAACCTTTCACCTAGTCTAGTTCTCTTTTCTTTCATAGAATTGATTGCTTAAACTGCTTCAAGCCTTTCTGGTGGTTCCCTCCCACTTCCTTCCTAGTTCAGGGTTATCTAATGATGGAGCTGGGTAGGAAAATATAAAGATATCTTTGATTCCAAAGGAAGGGAGACAGGAAGGTAGAGGATTCTATGGAGTCAGATGTCTACGGTGGCTGAGATAGGCTTTTCTTCACTCTTCCTACCATGTCCCTTGGATCTGGATTTACCTCTATCGAACAGCAGGCATGCCCAGTCGCTTGGCTTTGAAATTAAAATTCAGAAAAAAAAAAAAAAAATACCCCTTCACCTACCATGGAGTGGCCCCAAATACCACCACTGGGAGGAAACTCACGTAAAGGCAAAGAAGAGGGTCGTGGCTCCCACTAAGAAGATGGCGGCTGCTGAGACCGGAACATACTTGCTAGGTTTGAATCTCTTTCCAGACTCTGCGGGCATGTTGGAGCTCTGATGGGAGATCTGCCCTGCCGCATAGCCCAGGCCCACACAGCGGCAGAACAGACAAGAAAACGGGACGAGGGCAACAACGGAAATAAGAGCACAGAAGGACACCAGGGAACAGAAAACTTTAAATTATCACCCTTCCCCCTCCCAAATAAAACCAAAGGTCAAAAGATCTCAAATGAAGGAAAGCGCATGGGAGGGGGAAAGGTGATTCCAAATGATGAATAACCACCTCCCCAGAACAAGGCAGGAGAGATTAAGAAACCCAGCTTGTACAGTTTAAAAATTGAAGACAAACAGTAGGTTGTACACATGCAAATGGTTGCAGGTAGAAAACATAGGCAGTCAGATAGATCAAGGAAAAATAGCTCATGGATGGAGATAAGTCTTCAGAAGGAAAGAAGGGGGAAATATCAAGATAGGGCAGAACTCTTCGGGCAAGGAAAGATTCTTCTGAAGAGATACTATAGTACCTCCACGACTACACTTCCACAGAATGTGAGCTGCACCCAAAGAGGTGTGCCCTGTGTTTCTATTTTAATCCGAGAAGGAACCCGGGGCCCCTTTCCAGGTTTAAAGAGAAGCTGTTTTTACTGCAGTCCTTGTCCTTTTTTAGGCAGTTTTCTCAATGACACCTTGACTTCAGGGCTTGTAGTCTGGCAATGATGGTTTAATTTTATTTATTTTCTCTCGATGGTTAAAGCTGGGCAGCAGCTGTTACAAGGTTGAGTTGTAAATCCTTTTCTTTGAAGGGGGAGGGAAAAGAGAGACGGCAAGCTTGTATGTCTTCAGTATCTTCTTGTTATTCCCAAGCCCTTCAAGAGCTTCTTTTCCTAGAGAGTTCATGCAAAACTAAAGCGTAACATAAAATCCCTGAAGCCATGTTCTTCCCAACAAGCAAAATAAGAGGAAGAACTCAATTCCACTCGATGATACTTTTTAAAGGTTACTGTGGATGAAAGCAAAGTTCCAAAGGGGTCCCCGTTTCCAGGTTAGTCAATGTCTCTGCTCTCTCTTCCTCAGTCTTGGGCTTTCTGGATGCAGAGTTTGGCTGGGTTACAGGGCCTCACCTGGAAAAAAAAAACAAATATCTTTATCAAAGAAATTCTTTCAGGGCATTTCTTAAGAATATCAAGGCTAAAACTCCACAAGCCATTCTGTTAAAAAGTGCCTTCTGAGAGAAAGATTATTTGCCACTTCACTTATGTGTATGTGGGGCTCTGAACTGGCAGGACAATGGATCTCGAATCCTTCACTTTTCTAAGTGCTTGCTGTTCACATTAGGAAGAGAAGAACGTGGCTTCACCTGGCCTCAGGTCGTCTTGTAAGGGGCCCACCTCCCCTGACACAAATAGTAACAAATATCAAAATCTAAAAACAAACAAGGGCACAGCAGTGACGGGCAGCCCTAGAAAAGAGATTTCTCTTTGGACGAAGAGTATTTATTGCTACAATGAAAAGAGAAAAAAATAACCTCAAAATTAGGACAGTTAGTCTTATTTCCTTTCTGTGCATGTCTCCCTCTCTCTCATCCCTCTATGCTTTGTAGTTATAACCCTGAAGAGGTAGAAGCTGAATGTTTGGTCTTCTGGAATAACACATGAAAGGACCTGGCCGAGAAATGTTCTTGCACTGAAAGGTGAAATGCCCTGTATGAGAAACTGAGTCAACCACAGAGGCTGGTCCTTTTCTACCTAATTCGACAGTTTTTTATTCCTGTATTAGCCTGTTAGGAAGTCAACTGAGCCCCACCTTCCCCAATACAATTAAGAGTAACAATTATTTCTGTTGATGGTAGTAGCAAAATAACCCTAGCACTTTGGATTTTATAAGATGTTTTTCATCTAGTGATCTCAAAGCACTTAACTCACATTATCGGTGACGCAGTCCCTTATACCATTCCAAAAAACTGAGGGCTAAAGAATGCCTCAGGCCATTCCACTGAATCACTTGAGCAGTCAAGTTCAGGATGCAAGGGTTCATTCATGTGCCCCTTTGCCAACACAAACCCTTTCTACCTCTTTCTCATCCACTACACTACTTGCCAAGTGATGACAACTTGGACTCTGCGGACCAAAAATTTTACTTGTTAGAATTTAAAAATAAATTTTATCGCACCCAGTGGTCTAGTATTTCCCTTAATATCAAAGGCAGAGATTAAAACATCAAAAGATTCAGATAATGAAATACAAACATGCCCTGGAATTTATCACTTCCTCTTTTACCTGTGGCACTGAAGGCAAAGGTGCCTTCTTTCAAGGTGCATCATGTCTCTCTTTAAAAAACAGCATTTTAGAGGGCCAAACAGTAATATAAGAACAAAGTGAACACCCAGAGATTACAAGAAATTGTTCAAGTCCTAGAAAAGATAAATCTTCTTTAGCCTCTAATGTTATGACCATTTAACTCTTGGTTTCCTAATCAAATCCCAACAATCTGAACGTAGGCCTTGGTATCTTTGCTAACGACGAGAAGCAAATTCTTGGTTTGTACACAGTACTATAAAACTTTCCCCTCAAAGCCCCAAAGAATAGAGATGAAAATTGCATTGCTTATATTTTATCTAGAGTAGAATATCATTTAGACACCATATATTTTAGATCACATTTTCCGACAGGAAAAAAAAATCACATGAACTAATACTGCCATAGCAATGCAGGATCATAAAAGGCCATGCAATATGGGAGTACAATACTGAGAAACAAAAGAGATCGGCACCTGAGATGTCTGGGGAGTATACATTGGAAGGGACAAGATATAACCTAAGAATTTACTGGGTAAAATAAAGAAGTACCAAGTCTTAGCAGAAGTGCTGTGGGTAGTAGGGATAAGACTACAGAATAAGTGTGGTTTTTTTCAGCAGTCTGGGTCCACACCAGTATGAGAAAGGTGTGTACGGCATATTCAGGCACAGAGTAATCTATGGAATGGAAATATGCATATATAAAACAAATCAGAGAATATATGGTTTGAAGACTTTAATACAGGTTTAATACCAGGACCTCCTTAAAGGGGTGAATGGATACGGGCACTACCACTGATAGAACAAGTATTGTTGGTTGAAATAAAGTGGAGAATAATACAATACAGTAAATCTGAATACGAAGTAATCAAAGTATCGTGGAATAATCCACATGTCAAGACACTGGCTTAAGAATCAAGTAGAAGTTTAATATGGGTTCTACCATTATATACCGAAGTAGCAAAATACACGGATATACAATTCTTGTAGGCATTAGGTGGGTAATAATGAGCCTTCTGAAGAGATTTGATACAGTACAGAGGGATACTGGGGTAAAAAGATAGGGATGAGAATATAAGATCAACCTAGACAAGATGGCATTAAGCAGGAAGTGAAAAATCCAAGCAGAAAAATGGTCTAGAATATAACATATTTGATTCTACCCCTCGCTTCATAACTTTAAGTCACTTTCTTACTTCACATTTCAGTGTTTTCATTCGGCCAAGTGGATAAAACATCTTCCACCTCCGTGTCTCACAAAGAGATTCCTATAGATAAAATATTTGCAAACACATCTGAGCTCCGCCTGTAAAAAGTACAAAGTACTTAAAGCATGGAGCACCAGGCTGGTGGGGGTGAGGAAGCGGACGGATGGGAGACAACAGGTAACAGGATGAGACTTGAGCCAAAATAAGTATCGGCAGAGTGAGCGAGGGACCTGAAACGCAGGGAGATAAAAGGGGAACAGCACCCAGTCCCCACCCTGGAGCTGGGGCAAGGAGAATCACCGTACGGGGCAGCGCTGACTGAGATTGAGAAGACGGAATCCGCGGTGGCAGGGCCCACTGGGGCTGCTGCGGGAGAGGGCTGCGGAGGACGGCAGAGCCCGCGGCGTAGGGCCGGGGGCGGAAGGGGCGGCGGCTGGGCACCAGGCGCCGAAGGGGACCTAGGTCCCGAGCTAGGACCGGGCAGCCGGGCAGTAACCCGTTCTGAGCCCCAGCGGCCGTGGATCCCCGGCCTCTACTCGTCGTCCGTTTCCGGGGCCCACGGGTCCTGCCGCAGTTGGATGACCCGGCCCGAAGGAGGAATGGGGCCTCAAATCACCTCCCCCTCCTCAGTCCCCCTTCCCTAGAGGTCACTCTCCCCTCCCATCTCACTGGCCCTGCACTTCCGGTTCCGCAGGGGCCGGTGTCCCCGATACTCACCCCCGGCGCGGTTCCCGTCACCGCCGCCGTCGTCGTCGCTGCCGCCTCCCAGCAGTGCCGTCCGGCCTCTGAGAAGCAGCGCGCGGCCCCCGCACGCTCCACGCCCGCCCTGCTCCGCGCGCTCCCGCTCGGCGGCGCTCGTCTTCGAGCCGGCGCGCGGCCGTTGCCCTCAGTGCCGGGTCTCTAGCCCTCCCCGCGTTCCCATTGGCTCCCTGTCCCGGACGCGCGCGACGTCTCGAGCGGGGCACGTTTCTCTCATTCATGCGACTCGCGCCGCCGCGCCCGCCCCCGCTCACTCTCCCATTCACCTATAGCCCCCACCCCCACGCCGCTCTATGGCGTGCGCGCGAACCCCGGCGACCGCGGCGACCTCGCGGTCTGATTGGCTGCATAGGCACGGCGACGTGCGCACGCGAGAAAACGAGGACGCGCGCGCAAGGCCGTCGGGTTCCGCAGGCGACTGGGAGAGGGGGATTTGGAGTACTGCGCAGGAGTCAGAAATGGGGAAATGGCCGGCCGAGTGTTCCTTTTTCCTACGTCCTATTTTCTGTTCCCGCTGGATCCAAGCAGAAATCCTTGGAAGTAAAAAAGTAGTAATATGTGTTTACTGGAAGAACTCAAAAAGCAAGGAGCTACCCCGTCGAATTCGCTAAGCCTTCCCAAGCAAATGTGGTACAGTCCAGACTGGCTTCCAGTACAACCAATCACCAGTATAGGCCCCGGCGTTTTCCTGTTTCTGCCCCTTCAAGCATTGGCCAAACGTTTGGCGAGTAAATAGCCCACCTCTCCCACCCACCCCCCTTTTTTTTTGATGGCGAAAACTTTATTTAAAAGAAACTTGAAGCAGTTCTCGGTCCAGCAAGTTTCCTAGAACCAGCAGAATCCCAGGGGGATGGAACGGTCGGGGCTGTGGCTCTCGCGTGGAAGGGGCACCGGGTCTGGAAGAGCCAGTGTGGGGCGATGCTCCTGCCAAAGGCCCAGGATGAAGAGGAAAGAGCGGGCGCGAGCCTTGGAGCCGTAGCGTCTACGGTGGAAGGAGGCACAGGGAGTGCGCGCCATCTGAGGCGGTGGCAGCCCCCCAGGGTGCGACCCAGCTTTTGGTTCCGCGTAATTTCCTTAGTTTCCAACTGCAACCCAAGGAATGGGCGCTGCATCCCTAACCGCGCTGGAAGGAAAAGGCTCTCTAGAAGCTCCTGTCCCTGGCGAGATGTTGGCCAGCTCAGATCACAGCGCCACACTTTGCCCTAATTAGCCCTACACAGCTGTGAACCCAAGAGCAAGGCCAGGTGTTCTCTCATTAGGCCATTTCTTTTATGAAAGCAGCTCTGGCTATTACATAATAGTCTTTCAAAAAAGTGTTCCACCAGCTATTTCTCTGAAGCCAAGGTTCCTCACTTGATTCTAAATCCTGTGGTCTGTCTTGGGGTTTGGTGTCAGATGTTAGTGGTTTAACTATGTTCTGATACTTTAGCGCTAGACAGCAAGGTGAAAGAGAAAGATTTACCTTCTGTTTTCTGGGGTCTAATCTACTTTCTCTGGCATGGCATATACATCAGGTTTTAGTTTATCCTTGCTAAGGGGTCAGTCCATTTATTGCAACACACTGAGCGTTCTCTTTAATGAATGTGTATTAAAAAATTAAATCTTTAAAATACTTTAGACCTTATAAAAGGTAAAGTTAAGGTACTACCGAAGATAGAATATTTCTTTTATTTATAGAGGCTTTTCTATCTTTTAAGGTTAATTTGTTTCCTTAGGAAGAGATCAAATTCCATTTTTTTCTATTATATATATTTTTTAGATTTTAAAACTTCATTTCCCCAACTTCGCAAATTTGGCATCTTTTCAAGAGCCTAAGACCCTGCAAATTGTTTTGTCTCCTTGCTAGAAAGTGCTGAATGGGAATAAAAATTCAACCTCCCACCATCCTAAACTCTCCTAAGATACTGGACTACTGGATGCCAAGCTCCTAGCTGGATGAGCACAAACAGTTGGCATAATCACTACCAAGGTTTAGAGAGTTTCCAGTTTCCTGTCCAGTTTTCCTTAGGATCATGCAAGATATTTCCTGGAAAGAATGTTTAATAGAGCATAAGGTTTAAACTGCCAGCCACTTCTGAAAAGTATTAAACAGTAAAATCTAGGCTAAAATAATGGGCTAGCCAGACTACCAAACTTCAAATAAATATATCAAGAAATACCTTAGTTTTTCTAGTGTACTTTATCTGTACTTTTTCAAATCCTGTTCACTTGCATTTCCTTATGCTTATAGGAGGCAAACACATGGTTATTTTTAGACCAACTCACTGGTAAATAAACAGGCAGACAACAAAATGCTACCCTAGAGTTTAGACGCAGAGAGGAATGACCTTTCAGCACCAACCTCTCTGTTTAAATACTGCAGCCTTCCCTCCTGTCCCTGTCATATATCTCTGCTTGTTAGATGACAGTTTCTCCCCTTGTGCTCTGGATCTCATCCTTCCCCCTGCATTGTCTTCTGAATTTTCTAACATTTGAAAAATGAAAACATACTGAAAAAAACGGTGGCAAGAACATACCATGGCCATCATTAAATTCTCAACCTCCAGGGTCTGTCAATATGCTGAGGCACCCTATCTAAAAGACTAACTCTTCCTTAATTCCATACCACCACCCCAGTCCCTTTCTTAGCAAAGCTTCTTAAAAGGGTTGTCTATAATTGTTCTCTACTTCTACAGTTTATATTACCTCAATATATTTCAATAGGACTTTTATCTCCACCAGTCCAAGACTGTACTGTTCAGGGTCAATACTGACATCCATGCTTCCAGATCCATAGTCAAGTCTCCTTTGCTAGCTCGCATTATACGTCACCTCTTATGCTGGGAGTGCCCTGAAAATCCCTCTTCTGCCTTCTTCTTTCCACTTACACAGTCCCCTAAGTGACTTCATCCAATACCACTGCTTTAAATGCCCTCTATAGGTCAATAGCTCCCAAGAACCTTCAGCCCTAACTTTCCCCCACCCTCCAGATTCATGTTTCCAACATCTACATGGCATCTCCATATGGATGACTAATAATTCAAACCTAACAGTGCTGAAGTAGAACTCCTGATATTCCTTTATTCCCTCCTGGAGTTTCTCCAGTCTCATAGTCAATCTAGTGGCTCACGTAAAAAATCTAGGTTCATTTCTGATTCCCCTTCTTTTCCTCACCACTCCCATCAGCAAGTTCTATCAACTTTATCTCTAAAATGTTCCAAAGCAATCTACTCACCAGCTCCACCTACTCTAATTTACCAATTCTCACATTGAAACTAACTTGTGTTCCTGCTTCTACTTTTGCCTCTATAATCCATGTTCCATACAGCAGTGACTTCGAAATGTAAATTAGATGTCATTCCTCTGTTTAACTATCTGCTAGGGTCTGAATGTATACTGAATTCGTATACTGAAATCCTAACCCCCAAAGATGGTATTAGCAGGTGGGGCTTTTTGAGTGGTGCTTAGGTCATGACTACAGAGCCCTCACAGGTGAAATTAGTGCCTATTCCAAAGAGGGTCCATAGGGCATCCTTGCCCCCCCTTCCACTTCATGAGGACACAGCTAGAAGTTGGCAGTTTGCCACCTGGAAGTGAGCCTTCATCAGAACAGGACCATGCTGGTGCTTTGATCTTGAACTTTCCAGCCTCCAGAACGGTGAGGTTTCTGGTGTTTATAAGCTACCCAGTCAGTAGTATGTTGTCACAGAAACTGGAAGAGACTAGACACACCCCCCTCCCACTTCTTCCTACTGCTGTTAGATTACGAAAACTTTATCTCATCTTTGCTGTTCCCTCCAGCCTCCATTTTTACCCCTCTCCCCTTGATTCACTATACTCCAGCCATACTGGCCTTTCCTTTCACCGAACACATCAAGCTTTTTCCTTTCTCCACTAGGAAGACTTTGCCCGAATTTTACACAGCCATTCAGGTCTTCACTTGAAATGTAAGCTCAGGAGAGGCCTTTCCTGACCACCCAATCTAAAGTAGCCTCTCAGTCACTGTCCTATAACACCCAATTTTAAGTCTCTGTTCAGCACTTACCTTTCTCGTGTTTGTTCTATAATATGTTCCCTAAGACTTTGTCTATCCTGTATCTATGTAGACGGTTACTGGCAAATAGTAGATGCTTGATAAATACTTGTGGCAAGAATGAATGAAGGGCATCAGATACTTATTCAGTAATCTAGGTCCAAACCAGGAACACCAATTATTTGTAAGAGATCAGACAATGGGCTTTCCCAATTGCTTACCACCTGAAATTTACACTCAACTTACACTTTAACTGATTCCAATCAAATAGACAATAGGAAAAATAGCTGCAGCTGAGAGAAAATGAGCTATCTCTGGAAAACGATCAGATCTGAAATCTCTACTCAAGTTTATGACCAGCCTCTTTGGTTCCTCATAGTAAGCCTGGCGTTGGCAACAGATTTAGCATCTATTTACCTAAGTGCAGAGAAAAGGGGAACCATCATAAAAATTCACCTGCTTGGCTCACACGTGAGCTCTTGGCTTTCCTCTCCTCTAAATATTTAGCAATAAATCATTCCAATGTTGTTCTGTAATTCTTTGTGGGGGGGAACAAAATTAAATATACCAACTTCTATGATGTGCAAAAATATTTATTAAAATAATTTTTTTCCCAAGTTCGAACTTTATTGGAAGGAGGCCTTCTAATACATTTTTTCATCCTGGATTAATGAGGTAACAAATGCTACATACAGACTATAAAGCAGTGATAAAAACGGGAAAAAATGGGATTCTCCAGAACCTTAGAGAATTCAAAGTAGCACTTTACGTGATCTAAGAAGCCAATTAAATTCTCATGGTTTTCCTTTAGGTTCAAGATTAGATGAGTTGGGTTACTACCATCTGTTTTAAGAGGCAGAATACATGTTTCCTACTAGTCCACCATTTAGGGGTCAGCCTGGCCTCAACAGATTCTCATACCTCAGCCCATCTGCCTTTCGTGATGGCTAGGCCTCCATGCCCCAGA